GCGACGGCGCTACGCGACAATGCTATTGTGTTCTATAGCCGCCAAATGTGCGTCGCGCCGTCCCGTCGCCCCGACACCACGACGCGTCGTGTTGTTTCTTGGTGCCGTCGCGTCGTGCCGGCTCGTCTTGTCGTCGTATTGTGCTGTCGTGACGTCGCGTCTTGCCGTTGTGACGTCGCATCTTGCCGTCGTAGCGTCGCGTCCTGATGCCTTGCTGTCGCGTCGTGTCATCGTATCGTGCCGTCGTGCTAAGTTAATGTTTCTGATAATGGCTAGTGATTACTAAGGCCAAAAGAGGTTTTATGTCACAAGTCCTAGAATAAATAATGTGCGTGCGTAGGGCCTACAAGATTTGATCATGAAATGAAAAAGGTCACGCACCAAGCTCCCGGAACCGTCCTATGGGGATTTTACATTGGGCCGTCCTATCACGTTCGATCATTTTGGAAGAATAATCTGTAACTGAAACCACCCCATGAAACACTCATGTGGGAAGTGTACCTTAGTCTTCCTCAACTAATATTAAATAAACGACCTTTCACGTCAGGCGATATCGTACCTAGGTCTCCTTGGTCATGTACATTTGTTTTAATACTCACCGTGCTTACGTGAAAACAAGATTGCAAAACGTTGCAAAGGTTTATCTACCTGTATTGATGGGTTCCATGTTCTGTTGATTTGACATACAACGCAGTTGTTGTCAGCAAAGGTTAAATAAAATATTAGAATCTTTCGTAAAAGTACATATTGCTTTAGGTTTATTACCTTACATATCAAAATAGTTTGCGATTTTTATTTCATCTGTTTTTAGTACTTATAGTGTGGCTTTTATCTCTCTTAGCTCAAGTAATTTTTCAGTTTCTATAAATTGATACACTAGCAAATATTTTCTGAAGCCCTTTTCTAAAGTTGAATGAAAAAATATTACAAATTTAAAATCTTTGCACGTTATTTTTCCTATCCAAGGGGTTCCAGGAGCTCGCCATCAGGGGTCAACTTTCAGGCTTTTTTGGTGTGGAACTTAAAGGTGTAGTCCACTAATTCAAGCCCCGTTGAAAACAGCGTAAAATCGGCATTTCTCAGGGCCCAATAACATGCGTACCAACATCCCTAAGGTATCTGAAACACACGTTAAATTATTGTATGGTCCCTAATCTTTCAAATTTCTGTGGTTAACAGATTACATTTTGACTTATTACCACAAAACAAAATTACCACCGAAAAGTGATTTTGTGAAGTCTGCTTGCAGCCATTTTTCAAATGGAAACCCTCAACTTTCGCGGGCATTTAGGACCGTTTTACAACCGTATTTTTCTGCCAGTCTGTTTTTAGATGAAAGCCCAAAGACCTTGGGCGTTGACCCTGGCAAATATTTGCACAATCTCACCATTTTTTATCCACACAACCTCCTTTTGCAAAAGATATGGGGGTATTTTTAATGCTGACCTGGCCAGAAATTCTCACTTAAATTAGCGGACTGCACCCTTAGCTCCGCTTTAAGGGCGCCCTCTATGTCCACCAGTAATGAGGCAACGGCGAGAGCACGATGCGACTGTACGACGCGACGGCTGAAGGCCGCGCCACGACGCAACATATCGACGACACGACGCCCTTAGAGACGGCGTTAAGTTCAATACCAATACATGTAGATACTATTTTTCATAATCAAATCTTGTAGGCCCTGTAGGTGCATTCCACCAAATCGATGAATATCTGCGCGCAAGCTCATTAATATGTTGTGATGTCACGGGATTTTTACAATACATGCCATAATCAGGAGGGATCATAGAAATATTTCTATAAATCCCGAATTAGGGACTGGTAGTTTCCAGTCCAGCCCTAACCTGTGGGCCTATTTTTGATAGAGGTGGGCGGCTACATTCTGAGCTGAGCGCATATAGTTTTACTATTGTTTTGGGGGTATTTTCGGGGGAAGGCGAATAAAAAAAATTACGTGGCTAACCCCATAAAAGTGAAACGAAAAGTGATCTTCTGGCCATAAACTTGAATTTCCAATGAAAAAACGGTGGACAACCTCTTCCCCAAGAGTCAACAGGTGGCGCTATTTGGGTCTGATTTTGCACTGTTTTCTATAGGCGGGTACTTGGTTTAGTGGAACCCAATAGATAAATCTGATTCGACGCCATAACTGCGGTGGCACCGCACTCACACGCACATTTTTCAGCTGGACGTGAGAGTGCATTTGGCAAATCACGACATCATATTGGTCAAAGAGGCGTGGAACGCGCACATGCCTAGGCCTCCTGTCCACGAGCATTGCACCACCGCAGTAATGCATACGGCTTCTAATTCTGGTTGTCAGTTTTTTCCAGGACTTGT